TTTTTTTTGATAGTAGCTGCCAGATCATTGTAGAATTTGTCTTTGACTTCTGTTTAGACGACAGTGTTGGTGCATATGCAATAATGAGGGTGGCCGGTCCCGCTGATGAGTGGAGCTGCAGAGACAGGATTATTTCACTCCCCGCAGTAGGTGGAACAATGGATCTCAGCAGAGTATTTCTGACTGCAAACCCAATACCATATTCCCTGGTCTCATTAATAGCTTTCCCTGCCAGAAAAATGAGAAGTTTTTTTTTCTTTGACAGATCCCAAGTCTGGCAGTCTTGTTTCTTACAGAGCAACAATGTCCATCTGCAGCCTACTCAGTTCCATATTGATGACAGTGGTCTTGCGCACATCGTCTATTTCCCACAGGTTGTCAGAAAAGTCAGGGGTCATTGTCTGAACATTTCAGGTGCCCAATGTTAGGGCAGAAGTTTTCTTATGATTGTTGCATGGTGCTGGGTTATTGATCTGCTTGTCAGCTGTCACCCTAAACCCCATGCACCCCGTGAGGTTAACAGACCATGGCGAGGCATCACCTTACTGGCTGGGGACTGCCAAATAGCTACCTAGTGAGCTGCAATAACCTCTCCCACCATCAGAAGTAGCCCCTGGTGGTGTCATGCACTACGCCAATCGAGCAAAGACTTATAACCAGTAACTGCTACTTCCCGTGTTATTTTGATGCTGTATGCGAAGCTGGAGTGTCCTCTCCAGAGCACCAAGTCTGGGTAAAATAATATGGAGGATAGGCTGTTACCCAAGCAGCAAATCCCCCCTCTCCATGTCGCTGAAATAGTTCAATGGAAAGGCAAGAGCCAATACAACTGGTTTCAGCGACGTTGCAGGAGTTGCCAGAATGACACAAACTGCCTCCGGGACTCCAGCTCCAGATTTTGCCTCGAAGTTAACTCCTGAAGCCTTTTCCATCAGTGGATATAGCCACAAGGTAGTGGAGGTTTGAAATTGGAGCTTTCTTTCTTCTAGATGGGCTGCCTTCCAAGGCTGACAAGCCCCACTTACCCGGATTAAATCACTAAGAAGTTATAAATAAAGTGAACATTTGAGTTCTGCAGAACTCTTCATGAGGCAAGACAAGATATAATCTGAGGTCCAAGCAGAAATCCAGCAACTGAGCCAAACATGATGACCATAGTTTGTGCAGCTAGAAAATGGAGTTTTAATGTGTCATCTCATGTTACATTATAATGTAACACTTTTTAAATGGTAGGTTTAAGCACAATACTAACAGCATGATGGGTGTTTCCTTTCCTTCACCTACTAGCCCTCAAATCCTGTGCATGTGGAAGCACAGATTGTTTAGACTGTCCTCTACTAAGCTGCAATATATTGTTTTCAATTGTTTCTCCAAAACATACTGGAAGCAATACATACAGGAAGTGTCCTTCACGCAGATATGCTGCTAATTAAGTATTGTCTTGGTCTTTTTCAAGGTACTGCTTTCCTTTTGGACGTCCCGAAGGAGCCTTAAAAGCTACACTTTCATTACTTGAAAGGGTATATCTTTATCCTTATTTCTGTTTTTCTAATGTGTTTGTATTGTTAAAAAATAATGTTCTTGTTTCAAGTTATGCCACTTGTCCTTTTTTTAGTTATAAGACCTACTTCATGTAGAATCAGCTTTGTAAAAGTTCTACATAAATATTTTGATTCTCTTACGTACTCTCACTCTTTCAAACCAATCACAAGACAGGCATCTTTGTAGATTCATAATATATTTTTTTTGGGGGGGAGGACCAGAGTTGATATCAGAAATCATATTAATTCATGCTCCTTCTTAAGAACTTGAGTATCATGATAGCCAGAGCTTGGAAAAATTATTGTTGAGCTACAGCTTCCTAAACCCATCATTCAGCATGGTAAGTGGCTGAGGGATTCTGGGAGTTGCAATCCAGACAGATAACTTTTCCAAGCTCTAGATTACTGAGTGGACCTGTCTCATCTAGGAGTTGAAGAATTACTGTTTCCAACACTCTTCATAATTGTCTGGGCTGGTAGAGAATAATAGGTGTTGGAGTCCATAATCGTCTGGAGATCCACAGGTTTTCCTGGCCTGCTCCTAAAATACCTAAAATTATCTTGATTATAGCGGGCATAGGTTGAAAGGCCACTTCAGTGGAATGTCCTGGGAAAATAACTTCATTAATTTATATTCCTGTCTGTTAAATTAACTTGTTACTATGAAAATTCATTCAACCCAGACTTCTACAGCCTGACAATCTGTGCAATAGCTGTGCTAGCTGGGATTGATGTAAGTTATTGTCCAACACATCTGGTAAACACCTCAGAGGAGTCACCATTTGTCTTCAGTTGCATGTATGAAAATGTCTAAGGAGCTTCTGATGAAGTGTCAAACTGCCAAATTAGCGGGACCTTCAGTTATTTCTGCTCAAGTGTTGCTGAAAAATTAGCAGTGTTGATCCCTGAAAAACAAAAGTCAAGAAGAATTAGAGCTTCCCCAAAAGTTTCATCTACAAAACTTCTTCTTGGATTGTGCTGCATCCAAGGCCTGGATGTTGGGTAGAATGTCACCAGGAATTTGTATTGGAGAAGTCACTGCTCATTTTTGTCATCACTAGTATAAACATTTTGACAGTCTTAGGCTTTTTCCTTCTAATTCATTTAGTATCATTACTGACAATTTAAAAAATGGGCACTGGTGATAATTCTTGGTGGAAACAAGTATTCAGAGTCATAATTCCTGGAACAAGAGTGTCTGAATTAGAACAAGCTTTTAGAAATGTCTCTACAACTCTTGAAAATTTTAGAGATGGGCATGAACTGCTGGACAAACAAAATGTTTGGTGCTTCCCAGCCCTGCCTCCTCTGGTGGGTGTCCACTCAGAGGCATCACCCAGAGGAGGCAGGGCAGGGAATCCGGGGCTCTGACTATGAGAGGGCACCTGCTGGAGGAGGCAGGACTGAGAACCACCAAACACCTTTTCGTCCAAAGGAGAAACGGCCACACCAGTGATTTGTGCCCATCTCTGCTTGAAATTCTTGAGAAGGCCACAGTGCAGGCCTTACTGGCATAGAAGACTGAAAGATTCTGCAGCCAAATTGGTAGTATAGAACTACTTCATTTTAGACATTATCCTGGCCCAGCAAGGCAGTGTCTCTGTGTTACTTAATTCTTCTTGATGCACATATGTGAATACATCTGGAATCATTACTACTGATGCCAAATGAATACAGCATGACCTGCACCATCTATACCAAGTGGCAGAATCCTAAGATAGGATTGATGACTGCTGATGATGTCAGATTTGAGAGAATGGTTGGGAAGAATCCTATGACCTCTCTTGAAAATACTTGTTATTGGATTCGTTATTTTTGCAGTAGGTTATGTATGTATTTCCTGTTGTTGTCAGTGTATATCTTTGTTACTTTTCCAATGCCAAATAAATTCTTTGTCTAAGCCACACACATACATACCCACACACCCCAAAATGATGGATCTGTGCAATGCTGACCATGAGTACATGGTAGCAGATGGATAGAGATTCACTGAGGAAAGAAATTAATAATGTAATCCTGTCCAAAAAAACTATAAAAGGGGAAAACGTGGGGGTGGAAGCAGAAGGAGATCACATATGTGGAGGTGTACCAACAAACCAGCTTTTCTTGATCACACATTGACTAATGCAGTCTGATAGCCTATCAGGGAAAGATGCATTTTTCCTTCTGACCTATCGGGGAACAACACCTTGGTCTCCTCAATGTGCCTGTATCAGCAGTTAATGAATAATCCTGCACCTGTGCAGGTGCTTATTTTGATGCTTTCTACTATAGGGCTGTAAAAGAGTAGTTGTGCCTTTGTTCTGAGAGACCCTCCCTCTGTACTTACTATAGTGCATTGGGAATCTCTTGCTTTGGAATCAATAATGTTTTTTTTTTTTTACTGAGACTCACTCTGTGTCTGTTGTACAACCCCCAGCCAGCAAATCATTGGCTATATGGCCTCTTTTCCCAACAGTGTGTCTTATGGTACGCTATGGACTAAAAGGTTTTCAGTTAAGGACATATTATATCTCACATCTATTTATATAATAAGTGGATTTTTTAAAAAAAGCTAGTTATTTCTTTCTCTTCCCCCCCCCCTTATTTTCAGGATAAGGTTTGCCTGCCCTATGGGCTATTACAAGGCTTACTGGTGTAAAGTATGTGAATGAAGCATTTAGGATTCTTCTAAGTGTTCTGTGCACTTGTTATTTTAGTCTTGTAGTTCATTTGGACATGGTGGCAGGCACCACAGTCTACTGATATGGAAGATAACTTATTATGACCTGAATGATTATTTTAAATTAAATTATCAAAGATTTATAGGTAGTCTATTAAAATGTCCTTTCTTTTTCATCCCTATTTATTAGTAAATCTAAAACAACCATTAGTGTATCTTCATATTCTTCACGCTTGGTTCTCTTGGGGGTAGAGAAGAAGGTATATGATAAAACATCTAACCAAGCATTGTTGTCATTACTGTCTTTGTCACAGGTCTTAATGAAAGACATTGCCACTCCCATACCAGCAGAAGAAGTGAAGAAAGTAGTTAGAAAATGTCTGGAGAAAGCAGCCTTGATCAATTACACTCGACTTACAGATTATGCCAAAATAGAAGGTTAGTGCAGTGATCATCTACTGTAGTGGCTGTAAAAGCTATTGGTGCCTCTTAACTGAATACATTTTGTGAGCAGCCTTTTCTCTTTGCAGAGCAAAACCTGTACCGCAGCAAGGGGAAATATCTCATTAAAATCTCAGCTGGTGAACTACTGAGCTTTTTCCTATTCATTGCTTTAATATACCTCCTGGGACTCTGCTTGAATGAATGATCTTTGCTTTGTGCTGAAGTTGTCCTTTGTCCTTTATTTTAAGGGCAGTTTTACATCACATAAAACTGGCCCACATCAGTCCATTCTCGAAGGTACCAGTCCTTCCATTCCAGGCGAATTGATATCTGAGCCTTTTATACTGTTCTCATGGCAAGCCGATAATTTTCCATGGATGTTCAGATATAGATACCACAAATTCAATTTTGAGATTTTAGTCAAGGGGCTGATTTGTATAAAGCTAGACAAAGATTCTCTCCAATTAAAAGCATGAGTTTATGCAGCTTTTTAAAAATTTCTGTTTTGTTTGAATAATGTTTTAGAAAGAGCTTAGAAAAATTACATCTCCCAGGAGTTATAGTCCAAATAACTTGCAGGAGTTGTAATCCTAAATAACTTTTACAGCCCAGCTTTTAGCCATGGAAATAGATCTTAACTGCTTGAGAACAGGTTGAACCATGAGTAAATATATTTTCAAATTAAAGTTTAACATATTTCCAAAATCTGAACTGTTATTAACCATAACTGTGATTAAACTAAATAAGCTTTATGTGTCATCAGTGGTCCAAAGTTGAGCATAGGTAAGAATTATCTAGGGACCTGGTGGCGCTGTGGGTTAAACCGCAGAAGCCTCTGTGCTACAGGGTCAGAAGACCAGCAGGAGTAAGATCGAATCCACACAATGGAGTGAGCTCCTGTTGCTTTGTCCCAGTTTCTCGCCAACCTAGAAGTTCGAAAGCATGCACATGCAAGTAGATAAATAGGGACCACCTCGGTGGGAAGGTAGCAACGTTCCGTGCCTAAGTCGTGCTGGCCATGTGACAACGGAAACTGTGGCTCTATGGTTTGGAAACAGGGATGAGCACCGCCCCCTAGAGTCGGACACGATTGACCTTTACCTTAAGAATTAGCCACAGACACTGAGCACACTTTAGTTAATTCCAGACCTGAGCTCAGTGGGGGACCAAGCTCATTCTTGCAATGCCAAGCCATGGCTTACTATGATATTTGAACTGGTCCATTGATTTATGTCTATAGTTACCTGAGATAGTGTGCTGTCCGGCTTAAATATCTGAATAAATGAAAAGGTTTCCCACCAAATCATCTCCTGCTCAATATTGTCAACTTTTGGCTAGAGTTGACTAACAGGTCTTTCTCTGATCTGTCTGGAGAGAACAGGTATGAAACCTGTATAAACTTCTGCATGCGAAAGATTAGATCTGCCACTGAAGTGTGATCCCCCTTGGATAAAATTGAGGGTGACATTATACAGAGAATAATAGTAAAATGAGTTGCTTATTATTCAGTATTTGGTGGAAAGAGGATGACAAATTCTCTTATAATATGTAATTAATTTAGCTACAATTTATTTTTAGCATGACTGAAATTATAATCATGATTTATCAGAAGCAAGGAGAAAGAAAAGTGATTGGTATATTTAACAATTTGTTTTAACTTCTTTCTCTCTTCAAGATCACTGACAAACATGAGTTAGCCAATCTCTTGTGTGATTAACCGAAAAAAGCTATCTCATCACTATAGCAACCAATATTATATCATGGGAATAACAACATGAAAGCACCTTAGTAACCAGTTTATCATAATTAATTAAGATATCATGTTGTGTTTAAATGATGGGGGATGTATAGAGATCTTTTGCAAAATGGGGAAAATACCTTTTCACCTTGAGCTAGCATTTGATGCATGCTTTCAGCAGGGCTCTTGCTGTTCAATTATCTTGAATTTTTAACAAGCTTGTTTAGAATAATTGGTATAAAAATAGAAAGTTTCTAAAAGAAGTCAGCAAAGCTAGCCAGAAAGTCAGCAAAATACTCTTCATATGGAACGGTTTACAGGTGAAACAAATAAGTCTTTTCTTTTATAACATCTGAAACTTTACTGAAGTTTGAAAAAGCAGTGTCCACTTCACAAACCCTGTCTTTCTATGGATGAGGAACTCTTAGGACATAGTAAGGAAACCTTTGTTATTCCAGATGTTCTGGAGTACGTCTCCTGTCGTCCTTAACAATGGTGGTGCTGGTTGAAGTTTGGTATTGCATTCCCAAACGTCTAAAAGGCCAAAGGTTATGTATGCCTTCCTTAGTGTTCTGTTAAAATAATCTCTAGTAAGGCATTTTTCTTCTTTTTTTCTGAAAAAGTACAGTGATGCTTTTTATATTTTTAAGTAAGGAAAACCTAAATGCATTCTGTACTAAAACTCCTATAAAAGTCATACTACTGACACAGAGAACTGATCCTTAGAGTTAAAAGGTTCTGTGACAAACTAGCTGTGCCTGTTTATTGCTTTTGACTGGAGCAGTTACCCCTCGAAAAAAGGAAGCAGTGAGCACCACCACCACACACATATGCCGTCAATATGCCACCCCTTCTTACCAACTCACTTTAACCAAGGTGAGAAGCGTGGCTCTTAAAACTGCTTATTTCATCTGACTGACTTCAGTGAGAGAAAAACAACTATTGTTGTTGTTTAGTCGTTAAGTTGTGTCCGACTCTTCGTGACCCCATGGACCAGAGCACGCCAGGCCCTCCTATCTTCCACTGCTTCCCGTAGTTGTGCCAATTTCATGTTGGTAGCTTCAATGACATTGT